CTTTCCCAAACTGGACCTTGGGAGGGGCAGTGACCGAGCAGAATGGGGGCCACATCTGAGGCCAGCTGCGGCCTGGCCAGGCGGGTCCAGTCCTTTTATAGAATGGTAGGACTTAAGGACACCATTCTCAAAAAAAAGAAAATAGAGTACCAGCACTCACCGAGCACCTTCTGGGTGCTTATGGGCATTACTTGTGAACCAGTTGAGGAGAGAGTGGGTATCCTGCCCAGCTTCCCGTTTGATGGTCCCCTGTGCTCTGCACTCAGTTCAGCTCTTCGCGTGCTGTCAGGAGCGGTGGGAGCTGGTGTAGGACCAGCGGGTGCCCAGAACTGCTTGGCCCTTCCCGTGTTCTCTTGGTTTCCATTATGAGAAGGGCATCACCAAAGGCTCATGACTGGTGGTCTGATAACTCCAGCTCTGTCCCTAAGGAAGGGCTGAGGGAGGGAATTTGGGATATTCTTTGTGGGGTAGGCCAGGGAAAGGTAGAAGAGATGGGCAAGGGAAACATGCTCTGCCTTGAGGAATCGCCCTGGGGAATAGCCAGGCTGATGCCCCAAGTGTCAGCACAAACCCAGCCCCAGTGGTGAGAAATGCCCAGGAGATGAGAAGGGGCCAACCCCGGAACTCTCCCCCACAGAGCTGCCCAGAGCAGGCTGCGTGTGGCGCCCCCTCTCAGGCGGGGCACAAAGGCGGAGGCTCGGGGCGGCCCGTCACAGGGAGGGGATGTGGGCACGGGGCTGGATGCAGACTAGGTGTCCTTCGCTAAGATCCTGCGATGATGGTAACAGTAGCCAAGCTGAGTGCCTCGGTGTCACTTCCTTCTGAAAGAAGATATGGCTATTATCACTCTTATTATGTAGATGAGAAAACTGACATCCTGGGCAGTCAAGCAACTCGCGCAAGTTCACAGAGCTGGTAAGCAGCCGGGCTGGGGCTGAACCCATCTGTTTGCCTACAGAGCCTGAACTCTTATCCAAGACACAGCTGCTTCGAGCTGCCTGGGGACCTACTGACCCAAAAGGATTGGGGTGCCAGGAGCCCTTGATAAGCAGACCAAGGGGAGATGGCATCCTTATTTCCAGAGGCTTTGATGTTTTATTTCAAGGCTCCAGCTGGCAGTCATGGGATTTGCAGACCCTCCCTCTCTCAGGAAGCAGATTAGGAAACTTGCCTTGTCCACGGAAGTGGCCACAGCCCATAAAGACATGGAAATCTAAAAGCAGCTCTGATGGACACGCCCCAGAAATTACAGACATGGCTTTTCTAGGAGACCGGCACTAATTAAAAGGAGAATGCCACGGCACTCAGGAAAACAACTGCTCACCCACACGATAGCTGACGCTCCGTTTTTACTTTAAATAGTCTGCCAAACTTGAAAGGATCTAGATTTGAAGTTTTCCAAATTTCAGTTTTTAAATTGTGAAACTGTGAATAACTGTATACTTGTGAAACTTTGCTCAAACAAAAGCTTTACTGTGGGATGCCATATTCAGCATTAGGCCTGTGAGGACCTTGTCTCACTACAGTCGCATGGGGTCCCTATTTTACAGGTGAGGAGACTGAGTTGCACGAAAGAACCAGCACTTTCTGAAGGCCATGCAGTTCCTAAGCGGTGGGGGAGGGGCCTGAGTTCTGGCATGCTGAAGTCCAGAGGATGCTTCATGTCCGGGGCTGGAGGAGGAAGCCCAGTGGATAAAGTGATGCTCTGAGTCGCCTTGGCTTGGGTCCAGCCCACCAAGACTCTCCCTTGTGCCCCGTGGCATTCTGGAGAAGCAGAGGGCAGCTTAAAAAACTGGGAACAGCTCAGCTGTCCATCCATAAGTGAATGAATGATCATTCATGGCTTGTAATACAGCCACACCATGGGACACCTACTGCTCAGTGATAAGAAGTGAACTACTGATGCCCACGTTAACATGGGTGGATTTCAGAATAATCATGTTGAGTGAGAAGAGGCAGAAAAAATGGATACAAGCCATGTGGTTGAATTTATATAGAAGTCCTCAAAATGCAAACTGATTGATAAAGACAGAGAGCAGATGAACAGCTTTGGGGGAGGGATCACCCAGAAGCCTCGGGAAGCTCTCTGAGGTTATGTCATCACCATCCTGATTGTAGTGATGGTTGCAGGAGTAAATGAGGATGTGGGTGTATCTTAAAAAAATCATCCATTTAAACTGTGTGCAGTCTATTGAATGAAACACCACCTCAATCAAGCCATTTTTAAAAAGCAGAAGTCAAAAGCTTGTATTTAGCAGGAGGCAAAGCTTGTATTCTGAGAAGATGACTTGCTCACCCCCTCAGCATGTGGAGGGGCTGGGCTCCCCCTGTGGCCCACGCTACCATGGGCATGGAGCCGCGTTCAAGTCCGGACTGCAGGGTCCACCTCCAGCACCCTGAGGGGCGGAGTGCTTTCTCTCCAGCCATGATGATGTCAGCACTGGACAAGCCACAGCTCTGGTTGGCCAGAGAAGTGTAGGTTGACAGAAGCAAAGTTGGTGGGAGCTTTACCCCCTTGGTCCCGGAAACAAAGACGGTTACTGGGTGGCTCGGGGTGGCTTCAGCATTGCTGTATTCACAACCAGAGATCTTGACAAAAACATGAAAGGATTTTATAGTAAACCAGGATTAAGCCAGGCAATCTCCTCCTCTGCAAGATTAACACAACAAACACCTGGGTGAGAGTACACCATAGAAAATATAGTCAATAGTTCTGTAGCATCTTTCTAGGTTGACAGTAACTACACTAGTTGGGCTGAGCATGTAATAATGTGTATAACTGTCAAATCACTATGTTGTATACATGAAACCAATATAATATTATATATCAACTGTATTTCACATATATACATATACACACACACACATATATATATATATATATATATACAAAAAAAAAAACACCTGCTGAGCATCTACCCCAGCATCAGTGCCCATCCTGGCCCTGTCACAGGGACCAGAAAGGAAGGAATGAGATTCACACACAGATGTGACACATAATGATGCCCCCCAAATCATGGCCATTACCCATCCCTCAAATAGTCCCTCAGCGCCTGATCTGTGCACCGAGGGAATAGATGCTTGGCCTGATCGTCGAATACAGGAAAGGCACATGGATAAAAAAACTTTGCCACAGCACTGAAGCTGGTGGGATAAATGCCGTGAAGGCCAAACGGAGAACCAAATCACTTCCAGTTGTGGGGAGGTTTCATGGAGGCTGTGGTATGAGAGGGAGAGAAAGGAATTTGCACATGGAGAAGAGGCGGAGGGTGTGTGTGTGTGGCGGTGGAGATCATTCCATTTACAAGGCCACATGAACAAAACCCAGACACCTGGGGGAGACAGGAGCCGTCTGGCTGCAGTGAGGCCTGGGAAAGGCTGGCAAGGCCAGAGGAAGCACCTAAGTAATATGTGGACACAACTGCTCCCCACCCCCACCCCTGCAGAAGCCTGTGCTCTGCAGTGTGATCTCATTTGCTCCATGGACAGCCAGCTGGTGGGTGGAGCTTCCCCAGCTCCTCTGAGACCTGTAAGAACAAAATCCAGGGCTTCAGCTTGAAACCTGGGTCCAGTGGCAGGGCTGGGGGTTGGGTGTGGAGAGGAGCCAAAGGAATGAACCTTCTCCAAGGGCCACTCGCTTCAAGTGGCATCAGAGTCTCAACCCTGGGGCGCTACTGATGGGCCAGCCAGCAGAAAGCAAGTCCCCTGGGAACCTGCAAAAATGGAAAAACTCAAGATCATACTTCCAGGGCCTATAGAAACAGTATTAAACGTCTCCTCAGATGGCCAAATGCAAAGGACACCACCAACTGGTGGCCAAGAAACCCAGATACCATGATGGCTGGGCAGAGTCCCTGTGCCCCCAAGGGGCCACAGAGGCAGAAATGACTGAGACATATTTCATAATGAGACCAAAACTCTGCTAGCACACAAAAGTCTCATCTCTGGCTACCAAGCTCCCTTAGGTGCAGGCATTTAGTACTGTGCAGATAAGGAAACTGCCTCTGGAGAGATTAGGTGGCTGGTCCAAGGTCACAGCTGGCCAAATGCAGAGCCAGGTCACATCCCAGTGTCCAGCAGCGCTGGTCCCCTGCCAGTGCCCCATAAATGGTTAAAGTGGTGATTCTCAGTGTGGTCCCCAAGACCCTTTCAGGACTTGCACAGAGAAAAAACTGTCTCCACACAGACTTTTTCTCTTAAAATCATACAGTCAAGTATTCTAGAATCTAAATGATGTGTACTGACCTCATCCAGTCCTGATGGCTAATGGGTTGTGTGCTTTTGCTATCATTTCAAAAATTCCGATTTTAATTTCCAATGTGGCATAACCCACATAACCAAAAGCTCTTTGGGATCCCAATAAAAGGGTCTTAAGACAAAAATATTTGAGAACTGCTGGTTTATAGAACTATTTTTGAAAAATAAAGCTGCACATACTGAAACATTCCCATTGTTTTGACATAACTGAATCAACTCTGTAAGGCTGCCTGGAATTCTGGTTGCCATTTCTACAGATCTTTGGTTAATAGAATACCTAAAACTGAGTGCATAGAGAATATACTGCCTGATTGAGCTGTATTTGTCCCCTCAGTTAATACCCAGAGCCACCATTTGCAGTAGATGCTCTTATTATTTTATGCCTGTGGACACAAAGAGGTTAAGTGGCCTAGCTTGGGGGTGCAGAAGCTTGGACTCCATCCCAGGCAGTCTGTCTCCACAGCCTCTACCCACTCCACTAATCCAGCTGCCATAAGATTTGATATTCCTTATATGCAATTGAGTTAGTTGGTAGACAAAAGTCTTTCAAAATAAGGAGTCTAAGAAAGGAGTTTAAAGAAAAGGGATCACCAATCTGGCCCAACACCTTCACTTTATAGAAAAGAAAAAGTGAGGCTTAGAGAGGGAGCATTTAGAACCCCAACCCAGGTAAGCATTGCAACTATCTTCTTCAGAGCAACAGCTGAAATGTGAGCAAATGACATCAAGACCAGGCAAGAAACAACATTTTCAGCAAAAACAGCTCAGCTTTATTGCTGGGAAGTTAGGAAGGAGCAGGGCAAGTGAGGGTCTCTTCCGGAACTCCCATGGCTGAGCAGGACTGCCAGGCCCCAGGTCTGTCCTGAAGGCAGGAGAGGATCAGCATCCTGGAAGAGATGAGACGTTAGGTGGAGCAAAGGTGCCATCTGCTGTGCAATGGAGGTATTGCAAAAGCAGGAAAGGTTCCTGAAGAGGCAGTCATAGGCGTGTGAGGTGGGAAACCCAGAGGCCGGAGCAGGACCAGAACCCTCGTCCAGCCCTGAACACTGCTCCCACCAAGTCCGTTATACTGGGGTTGGCTGGATCCCATTCACCTTGTTAAACCAATCATTATCAAGGCCCTCTTCTGGGCTGCTGGGACAGGTCATCCTGTCCTATTTCAATTTACACTGGGAAGGCAATGAACAAAACCCTGAGCCAACAAATCTGCCAAAGTCCAGATGACGGAGGTGACCTCAGAACCAGTAAGCACTCTATTTCTGATTCCCAAACCTGGCATTAAAAAGGTCCCTGGGAGCCTTTTAAAACAGACTGAAACAGATTCTGTCCGGCACATGGGGTAGTTTGCTTGACTGGTGATTACCCAGCGCGTGCATCTGAATCTGCAGGAGCACAGCTTTCCATGCCAAGCACAGTCACCAGCCTGTGTGCAGATGAACTATATGGTTCTAGAATTTGCCTCCAAATAGTATTGCAGGTGGGGGCAGAGATGAAACAATGATGGCTATGATTTGATCATTGCTGGATCTGGGTGATGGATACATGGGGATTCGTTTTACTACTCGTAAGTTTGAAAATTCCTATAACAAAAAAGCTAAAATAAATAAATAAAAACTACTATGAGAATTAGTCATAGAAAGGACTGAAGGGCTGATACATGATACTGCTTGGATGCATCTTGAAAACGTTATGCAAAGTGAAAGAAGCCAGATGCAAAAAGTCACAGATCATATGATTGCTTTTATATGAAATATCCAAAATAGGCAAATCCAGAGAGGCAGAAGGCAGATTAGTGGTGGCCAGGGGCTGGAAGAAGTGGGTAAACAGGGTTTTTTTCTGGGGTGATAAATGCCACTTAATGGCACACTTAAAAATGGTTAACTGTATGTTATTTGCACTTCACCTCAAAAAAAAAAAACCTACTATGAGAAAAACACATTGAGCTCCACATGTACTGGCAGATACTACTTTTTAGTTAAGTAAAATTCCAAGCCAGGAGTTTCCAACTCAGGTGTCTATACTGGGGCTCTCCTGCTCAGAAAGTTTTTCCGCTTCCCTCCCTCCATCCCCTCCTGTCACAGAACTTGTATGAAACACAATCCTACAGGGAGGTCCAATATGAGACAGCAATACTTGGAGTAGACAGAGGGGCCCAGAGTCCCCCAGATCACCCTACCCGAACACCCCAGGGATGCAGGAACCATGTGGTAAACGCTGATCCGCAGCATGAGGTGAGGTGGAAGTGTCACCCTCCCTTGAAGGGAAACCCTTCCTATTCAGAGGAACAGCAGCTTGCACAAGGCAGGAAAGGAGAGTGGAGGCTATAGCCCATTTACAGATGAGAGGCCTAAACCTCAGGGACTTAAGGAAAAGTGGCCAAAGTCACAGTATGAATTGAGAACAGAGCTGGAATTAGAATCGCAGAATTCTGATTAGTCATCCTGGGCTCATTCCTGAAAGTGGGTTGTATCCATGGACAGCAAGGGGATGAGGAGAACAGACGCATCTGAAATCTTGGGATCTGCACGCAATGTCACTGTAAACATAGGACACTGCCAAAGCTCAGATTCCAATGGCCCCTTTAAGGAGGCTGTACTCGCAGATGATGCTCACGGGCCACTGGCTAGTCATTACTAGCCTCTGCCTAGGGATATTCTGTGGGCCCTGCCGCAGGGACAATGTCCCCAGCCATTACAGAACTCTGATCCAGGAGGCCTGATTCCCATCCTCCCTCTGCCACTCACCTGTGTGACATCTTGTCAAGTCATTTTCCCTCTCCAGGCCTCCTTTTCCTCAATTAACGGTGACAGCACTGACCCACATCAGGGATGTGGCAATCACTGTACTTCATGAGTCAAATGCACCACAGGGGCAGTGACAGCTAGGAAGCTGTGCTGTGAAGGATTCTGAGGCTGTGGCTGGGCACTGAGGGCAGGGTGTTGGATCAATGAGGAAGGTCTGCCCTGGTTTCATAGTGACCAGCTGGCATGGTGCCACTTATCTACCTCTCTGGATTATATAAAACCCAGCTTAGACATGTGATTGTTTTGCACCAGTCTGGGCAGAGGGCATGTTCAGGAAGCTGACAGCAGGTCCAAGTTGGGAGGCAGGCCAAACTGAATTAGCTTAATTGGTCAGTGCACAGGAACAGGAGGCCTAGGGTACAGGTGTCGTCTCTGATGGACACATCAGTTCATCAAAGCACAAGACACACTGCTCAGGGTCATACACTCTAAACTTAAACCCTGCCAATCATGAAATGCACCCCCCAAGTCATAAAAGGGACCCTGGGAGACATCATGGCGCTCTGTGTATTCACAGTGGGTTGTAAGGATTTCCTGAACTTGTGATTTGCATTAGATAATGAAATATTTTGTTTCAGTGCTGGGGTGTCACCTACCTGGCCCCTTTGGTCTGTCCTGAGGCCAGGGGCCCAGGCCCTCACTGCTTGGGGCCAATGTAGGAAACAGCCTTTCCTGTTTTCCCCAGAATCTCCAGCAGAGTGTCCACGCTGTGCTCAGAGTTGATGCAAACCTTCTTATTAGGCAGGTCAATGTCAAACTCAACTCCTGCAGGAAGAGGAAACGGTGTGGGGGATGGAGGCAGAGACCCTCCCAGTCAGAGAGAAAGAGTTCAGGCTCTGAAATTCTTATTCATAACCACCTTCCACTTTCCCTCAGACCAGAGATCAGCCAGAGAATAGACGTTTTAGGCATTGTGTGCTGCATGAACTCAGCTGCATATCTTCTCTACGTGTTTGCTTTTGCAACCCTTCAAAAATTAAAAACCACTCTCAGCTTTACAAAACTAGGCTCTGGGCTGGATTTGGCCAATGGCTGTAGTTTGCTGATCACTACTCTAGACTAGGGCTTCTTTTAACTTATTTTTTTTTTATTTCAAAAGTAGTAATACACACTATTAAAAAAAAAAAGGCCTAACATTTCTGAATAAAATTAGAAAAATTAGAAAGTGGAGGGCACTATACTACCTCCTACCTCTAGGAATCACTGTGAACTGTATGGCATCTAATCCAGTCTTTTTCCCAGGTAGACAAATTAAAAGTAACTCCCCAAAATGGCATGATGCTCTATAAACAGGTCTTGCTATATTTCACTTCCCAATGTCCAGGACATCTTGCCATCTTAGCACACACAGACATCATTCTTCCTTTTAGCAGCTACACTCTATTCCACAGTGTAGATGTTGCATACACCCACTCGGTCCCCCTGCTGAAGGACACTGAGGCTGCTACCAACATCTCACTATTATCACAACACACTCAGACTTACAGCAAACATACCTGAACACATCTCATAAAGCTTTCAAAGTATTTCTATATGGCGAATTCAAAGAAAGGAAATTGTGGGGCAACAGAATGGCAGATTTCAAATGTTAATAGGTATTGCAAAAGTGTTCCTCAAGGACTGTGCCAATTCAAGTATGCCATTAGTCTGTGATTCCTCATGCTCACCATCCCTCACCTAAGTCCTCAACCAACTCAGAAAATCCTTCTGCCCCATCTCAAGAGGCTACCCAAGTGTGGACAGTAGTGAAAGGTGGGGAAAAACCTGCCCAGGTTCAAAGGCAGAACCCCAAGGATCAAAGGACCTTAGAAAGCACATGGCACAGGGTTTAGTCATGTCTGAATTTGTGTCCGTTGGATACCTGGGGAGAAAAAACTAAAGTACGTCCTCGCTGTGTTCTGAATTTTTGTCTTTTGGTTCAGATGTCTTCCTCATCTTTGGAATAAATATTTTTGTGGTATCACAGAGCTGGCAGAAGCTTGGATCATCTAACCCAGTAGATTTCAAACTGTGTTCCTTGCAGCCCAGGGTCCTGCAGTTTTAAGAGTGATTCCTGGGGCCCAGCCCAGGTCACCCTCACTTCATCCACCACGTGCCACTTGGGACAGAAGGGGCTTCCAAGCCCAGTGTCATTCCTAAAGTCCCATAGAGAAAGCTGATATGGACTGACTCCCATACAACAGCGACGGGAAACTCAGGCCTGAGGGAGAAGGCAGCCACACCACGGGACAGCAGCTACGTTCTTTCCACTGTTTCCGATTCCTTCAAATCAAAACTATGGTTTATAGGACTAGAAACCAGCCACTAACTCCTTGTGGGGCTCTGAGCAAGCTGCTTCCCCGCCTGGGCATCAGTGCCAACATCCCCACCCCACAGATGGAAACCATGGCTCAGAGGAATGCTTTAAGCGCTAAGGAAATCACATCCACATGGAAGACTTCTGAAAACTGGGTGTTGGTATTATCTAGGGTTTTAAAAATGAAAATCTTAGAGGACTGACTGCCCCAGCACTACTAGAACTCTTATCACATCTCAGTCATTAATTCATGGAGCTCCAGGGCCAGATGCCAGCCAACCTCTGTGCTATAGGCAAATCCAGAGAGGCAGAAGGCAGATTAGTGGTGGCCAGGGGCTGGAAGAAGTGGGTAAACAGGGTTTTTTTCTGGGGTGATAAATGCCACTTAATGGCACACTTAAAAATGGTTAACTGTATGTTATTTGCACTTCACCTCAAAAAAAAAAAAACCTACTATGAGAAAAACACATTGAGCTCCACATGTACTGGCAGATACTACTTTTTAGTTAAGTAAAATTCCAAGCCAGGAGTTTCCAACTCAGGTGTCTATACTGGGGCTCTCCTGCTCAGAAAGTTTTTCCGCTTCCCTCCCTCCATCCCCTCCTGTCACAGAACTTGTATGAAACACAATCCTACAGGGAGGTCCAATATGAGACAGCAATACTTGGAGTAGACAGAGGGGCCCAGAGTCCCCCAGATCACCCTACCCGAACACCCCAGGGATGCAGGAACCATGTGGTAAACGCTGATCCGCAGCATGAGGTGAGGTGGAAGTGTCACCCTCCCTTGAAGGGAAACCCTTCCTATTCAGAGGAACAGCAGCTTGCACAAGGCAGGAAAGGAGAGTGGAGGCTATAGCCCATTTACAGATGAGAGGCCTAAACCTCAGGGACTTAAGGAAAAGTGGCCAAAGTCACAGTATGAATTGAGAACAGAGCTGGAATTAGAATCGCAGAATTCTGATTAGTCATCCTGGGCTCATTCCTGAAAGTGGGTTGTATCCATGGACAGCAAGGGGATGAGGAGAACAGACGCATCTGAAATCTTGGGATCTGCACGCAATGTCACTGTAAACATAGGACACTGCCAAAGCTCAGATTCCAATGGCCCCTTTAAGGAGGCTGTACTCGCAGATGATGCTCACGGGCCACTGGCTAGTCATTACTAGCCTCTGCCTAGGGATATTCTGTGGGCCCTGCCGCAGGGACAATGTCCCCAGCCATTACAGAACTCTGATCCAGGAGGCCTGATTCCCATCCTCCCTCTGCCACTCACCTGTGTGACATCTTGTCAAGTCATTTTCCCTCTCCAGGCCTCCTTTTCCTCAATTAACGGTGACAGCACTGACCCACATCAGGGATGTGGCAATCACTGTACTTCATGAGTCAAATGCACCACAGGGGCAGTGACAGCTAGGAAGCTGTGCTGTGAAGGATTCTGAGGCTGTGGCTGGGCACTGAGGGCAGGGTGTTGGATCAATGAGGAAGGTCTGCCCTGGTTTCATAGTGACCAGCTGGCATGGTGCCACTTATCTACCTCTCTGGATTATATAAAACCCAGCTTAGACATGTGATTGTTTTGCACCAGTCTGGGCAGAGGGCATGTTCAGGAAGCTGACAGCAGGTCCAAGTTGGGAGGCAGGCCAAACTGAATTAGCTTAATTGGTCAGTGCACAGGAACAGGAGGCCTAGGGTACAGGTGTCGTCTCTGATGGACACATCAGTTCATCAAAGCACAAGACACACTGCTCAGGGTCATACACTCTAAACTTAAACCCTGCCAATCATGAAATGCACCCCCCAAGTCATAAAAGGGACCCTGGGAGACATCATGGCGCTCTGTGTATTCACAGTGGGTTGTAAGGATTTCCTGAACTTGTGATTTGCATTAGATAATGAAATATTTTGTTTCAGTGCTGGGGTGTCACCTACCTGGCCCCTTTGGTCTGTCCTGAGGCCAGGGGCCCAGGCCCTCACTGCTTGGGGCCAATGTAGGAAACAGCCTTTCCTGTTTTCCCCAGAATCTCCAGCAGAGTGTCCACGCTGTGCTCAGAGTTGATGCAAACCTTCTTATTAGGCAGGTCAATGTCAAACTCAACTCCTGCAGGAAGAGGAAACGGTGTGGGGGATGGAGGCAGAGACCCTCCCAGTCAGAGAGAAAGAGTTCAGGCTCTGAAATTCTTATTCATAACCACCTTCCACTTTCCCTCAGACCAGAGATCAGCCAGAGAATAGACGTTTTAGGCATTGTGTGCTGCATGAACTCAGCTGCATATCTTCTCTACGTGTTTGCTTTTGCAACCCTTCAAAAATTAAAAACCACTCTCAGCTTTACAAAACTAGGCTCTGGGCTGGATTTGGCCAATGGCTGTAGTTTGCTGATCACTACTCTAGACTAGGGCTTCTTTTAACTTATTTTTTTTTTATTTCAAAAGTAGTAATACACACTATTAAAAAAAAAAAGGCCTAACATTTCTGAATAAAATTAGAAAAATTAGAAAGTGGAGGGCACTATACTACCTCCTACCTCTAGGAATCACTGTGAACTGTATGGCATCTAATCCAGTCTTTTTCCCAGGTAGACAAATTAAAAGTAACTCCCCAAAATGGCATGATGCTCTATAAACAGGTCTTGCTATATTTCACTTCCCAATGTCCAGGACATCTTGCCATCTTAGCACACACAGACATCATTCTTCCTTTTAGCAGCTACACTCTATTCCACAGTGTAGATGTTGCATACACCCACTCGGTCCCCCTGCTGAAGGACACTGAGGCTGCTACCAACATCTCACTATTATCACAACACACTCAGACTTACAGCAAACATACCTGAACACATCTCATAAAGCTTTCAAAGTATTTCTATATGGCGAATTCAAAGAAAGGAAATTGTGGGGCAACAGAATGGCAGATTTCAAATGTTAATAGGTATTGCAAAAGTGTTCCTCAAGGACTGTGCCAATTCAAGTATGCCATTAGTCTGTGATTCCTCATGCTCACCATCCCTCACCTAAGTCCTCAACCAACTCAGAAAATCCTTCTGCCCCATCTCAAGAGGCTACCCAAGTGTGGACAGTAGTGAAAGGTGGGGAAAAACCTGCCCAGGTTCAAAGGCAGAACCCCAAGGATCAAAGGACCTTAGAAAGCACATGGCACAGGGTTTAGTCATGTCTGAATTTGTGTCCGTTGGATACCTGGGGAGAAAAAACTAAAGTACGTCCTCGCTGTGTTCTGAATTTTTGTCTTTTGGTTCAGATGTCTTCCTCATCTTTGGAATAAATATTTTTGTGGTATCACAGAGCTGGCAGAAGCTTGGATCATCTAACCCAGTAGATTTCAAACTGTGTTCCTTGCAGCCCAGGGTCCTGCAGTTTTAAGAGTGATTCCTGGGGCCCAGCCCAGGTCACCCTCACTTCATCCACCACGTGCCACTTGGGACAGAAGGGGCTTCCAAGCCCAGTGTCATTCCTAAAGTCCCATAGAGAAAGCTGATATGGACTGACTCCCATACAACAGCGACGGGAAACTCAGGCCTGAGGGAGAAGGCAGCCACACCACGGGACAGCAGCTACGTTCTTTCCACTGTTTCCGATTCCTTCAAATCAAAACTATGGTTTATAGGACTAGAAACCAGCCACTAACTCCTTGTGGGGCTCTGAGCAAGCTGCTTCCCCGCCTGGGCATCAGTGCCAACATCCCCACCCCACAGATGGAAACCATGGCTCAGAGGAATGCTTTAAGCGCTAAGGAAATCACATCCACATGGAAGACTTCTGAAAACTGGGTGTTGGTATTATCTAGGGTTTTAAAAATGAAAATCTTAGAGGACTGACTGCCCCAGCACTACTAGAACTCTTATCACATCTCAGTCATTAATTCATGGAGCTCCAGGGCCAGATGCCAGCCAACCTCTGTGCCTGTTTCCCCAGCTGATAATTGAGGGGGCTGGATAAGGTTTCTAAATATATTCCAAAAAGGTGAAGTTTAGAAGTTTTGCACATGACTAATTTCTTTATTTTTTTTAATGTAGTTTTTTAAATCTTAATAGAAAATGACATGAAAATGTGTCATATAACAAATTATCACCCAGAAGATCAGCACTTTAAACTGGTACTGCCAGGGCTCTAGGGAGCTAGACTTCAAATCCCAGCTCTGTCACTTACTTGCTGTGTGGTCCCAGTTGAGTTACTTAACCTCTCTGAACTTCTGTTTCCACCTGCTTATAGTGGAGATAGTCAAAGAAGCTACCTAAATGATTATGGTGAGGATTAAATGATAGATCCACAGATGCCACTAAGCAGAGTGCTTGGTATATTCAATACCTTTTATTTTTACTGTTATTATCAGCTTAAACTCAGTTTCTCCTGCTCCATGTCTGCATGCATTTGAACATGACACAATGAATGGGTCTCCCCTACTCCACCCTCAACCGAGGGCCACTCACTCACCTCCCAGCTTGTTGAGGACCCGACTGACTGCATTAGAGCAGCCTTCACAGGTCATGTCCACGGAGAACTCGTGCTTCTGAAACAAACAAAGGGGACTGTGAGCCAAATCCTGCAGAGCAACCCAAAATTCTCACCAGACTCACCAGCATGCTGGCCTATGCCGGTGCCAAAACAGAGGGCAGACAGACAGCGCAGACTCACTGCAGCCTGTTTCCAGGCCCCACTCTCTTAACCTGTAAAGTGGAGTGACTAATGATTTCTATATCTCACGGGTTGTTGTATGAAATGAGATAATCCTTGTAAATCCTTTAGCAGTGTCTGGCACACAATGAGTAGAGTCACGTGGCAAGCTAGTTTAAAATGTTAGTTTCTAGTTTCACCTTTAAATCCTAACTATTGAGCTATGAGGCTGTCTTGGAACCACTGATCACTCTGACGTCGGTGGGCCCCCTGTACTCTGAGCAATGCTCATCTTATTTATACATCAGAAGATCACCTTCTGCATTAGAATCACCTGGGAACTTGCAAAAACTACAGGTTCTGATCAGCAAGTCTGGGCTGGGGCGTCTATTACAGCTAGTAATCTTCCCTGGTGATTCTGATATACAAAGACTGCTGCTATCATCCAAGTGCCAGTCAGAGGCAGCGCCCAAGTTGGAGAAAGCAGAGGATTTGCCTGGGCTCCCTGGAGTCTCCAGAATATCTTACAAACCAGGGACCTAAAGGCTAGCTCCCAGAAGACAGGGGCTTTGTTCAGTTAACTGCTGCATCCCCACTACTTGGAAAAATGTCTGGCACAGAGGAGGTGCTTAATATATTTTGCTGAGTGAACAGATGATTGACACAGCTGGCTGAAGACCTCTGAGTCCTTCCTTTGCTTTCAAACAAAGACTACTTACACCAACAGTTCCTTTCTTTGAAAATCTCTGAAGTGAGACCCAGCTTCAGATCCCAGCTCTGGCACTTACTAGCTGAATGACCATGAGTAAGCTACTTAACTCCTCTGTGCCTTAGTTTCTACATCTGCAAAATGGGGATGAGAGTCTCTCTCCAGGTTGGTGAATGCATGAGCATAGGATTTCAAGCATGGCAACCAGCATGCAAGATGGCCCCAATGATCTCCACTTTCTGGAATGTATGCCCTTGAGTAGCCCCATTCCACAGTGTTTCAGGGTTGGTCTGTGTGTCCAGCAGAATATGGCTGAAGTGATGTAATGTGACTTCTGAGGCTAGGTCAGAAAAGACATGTGGCTTCTGCATTGCTCTCTCTGGAATCATCCATTCTGGAGGAAGCCAGCTACCACATCTTAAGGAGCCTCAAGCAACCCTGTGAGAGGTGCATATAGTCACGAACTGAATCCAGCCAACAGCCATGTGAGGAGCCCCCCTGGAGGACTACAGCCTTGGCAACATCTTCACTGCAACTTCATGAGAGAAGCCCAGCCAAAAACACCCAGCTAAGCTGCTTCCAGATTCCTCACTCTCAGAAACTATGAGTTAATAAATGTTGTTAAACCACTAAGTTTGGGGTAGTTACTCAGGAATCAAAGATTCAGCTAGTACATTGAAAAAGGAGATTGGAGCCTAGTGGTAGGTTCCACTGGGTAAGAAGTTACCTATTAGATTATTATTATTACTAGATTGTTCCACTTCCCTCTTTTCTTTCCCTTCAAAAATCAATGGCTATACTTTTCATGGAACATGTCAAAATATTTCAAATCTATTACCTCAATTGGAATTCTGGGCATAGCAATGTATCTTGCTGGAAGACGTCAGGCAGGAATCCCTGACCCTAGAGGCCCAAGTCCCCTTATCTCCTCCAAAGGGGTATTAGTGAACTTTGTCTTCTCAACGTCAGTGCCCGTAAGACAAGGGGACTTTCTGACCATGCAGCGGTGCAGTCAGCTGCCTCGGTGGGCTCTGTGACTCTGGGGTGGGCCCTGGGACTCTCCATTTTTAATCCAACAGGAGAGGCAAGACCACACATCTGAAAACGACTGTTCTCAGCGGATTTTCAAGCTCTTCCCAGGTCTCAAAACATCTTTGAGTCTGGACTGTCATCATGTCATACAAGGGAAACTGAGACCAAGAGTTAAGAGCTTGGTTTTACAGTGCTGAATTATTTAACCACCGTGACGTGACCAGGAGACCACTATTTTATTGAGGCCACATTTGCAAAACCTGCCTTAAAGAAAATGGTTAGTTTTTCTTTTCTAGTTAAACACCTCTAATTTTCCTTCAGCTAGTGTCTTTTCAACAACAACCACAACAAATTCTGGAAATAAGGATTTGTAGTGAGTATTCCAAAATCTGGCCTTTAAAGCACTGGCGTCCCTCGGGAACTTGCCATAAAGGCAGTATCTTAGGTCCCACCCAGGCCTCCTGAATCAGAACCCTCATTTTAACAAGACCAGCAGTTTATTCTTGCCCACATTACAGATTGTGAGGTGCTGCTCTAGAACACAAACTGGCAAACTACAGCCTTCCTGTGACCTGGTTTTATAAAGTTTTACTGGAGCACAGCTAAGCTCATGTTTACTGTCACATTAGAATGGTGAGGTTGAGTATAGGGTTCCTGAAGCCTGGTATTTATTATCTGGCCCTTTAAGAAAAAGTTTGCTGACTCCTGCTCTAGAATAACCACCAGATAATTAAGGTTTATCAGTGGTTTGCACCTGTCTACCCACCCAAAGTTTTAAAGGGTTTTCAAGACCAATAAAAGACCTAAACCTATTGGACACCCACTATGTGCCAAGTGCTGTTTATAAGTAAAAATTCACCCAGCTTAGAAAGGGAGCTAGTCACCCTGTTTCACTCAGGAGGAAACAGAACTTCCCAGGGATTAACCAAGCTGCACACAGCCTGACATGTGGCAAGTGTGTGCTGAGGCTGGGATGTGAACCCAGGCTCCCTGGCTCCAGGGATGTCTTTCTGGGTCTGGACCAGCAAACAGCAGAGCTACCTGCCATGCCAAGCCCACTCCCCAACCCTGACCCTTGGCAGAAGCCCTGAGAGTGGGAGCACCTTGAACAGAGTCACAAGTTTTCGCTGCCCAAGGACCTACAGTCAACGACTATGTGAAGCACTCTGCTGCTGACTATGGACAGTGGGGCTCCTGTCATCCTCCACAGCACAGGGGTCAGGTGCCAGGAGGCAGCTTCTGGGGGCAAACATTACAGTCCAGTACTCTCCTCCTCCTCTGAGTTGCAAAACTGGATTTGGAGGTGGTGGGGAATCTACTTAATGGACAGAGTAATCCATTCTTCACAGAGTCCCCAAACCAGCCCCATCACTGAAGGCTTGTCTTTGCCACCCCAACCCTGGCCCCTCTGCACCTCTGCTCTGTCACCTATAAAGCAGGTCTTTTAAAGTACATGAAAAAGTCCAGGAGCCTGTGTGATTCTTTAACAGAATCTCAGAAATGGAAGGGTGGGAATGAGGTGGGATCATATCATCCAGCCCCTCACCAGAGAAGGAATTCTTTCTCAGATATCCAGGACAGTCTTCAAACACCCTGATGACTGAGAGGTTACTAATACTAGTATCAGGAAGCCTACTATATGCCAGGCATTGTTCTAAACATTGCACATGCACTATCTTGTTTAGTCATCACAACAGTCCCAGGAGGTAGGCATTATTATTATCCCTTCTGCAGAGGTTAGGTCCCTCACTCAGGGTGACAGCTTGTGAAATAGCAGCACCTAGATTGGATGGTCTCCAAAGCCTAAATGCTTACCCACTGTGGTCCTTGTTAAAATGAGGCTAACACCTGCCTGCCAATAGTGCTACCCTACTTAACGCTAGTTCTACACAAACGCTACCATTTCCTGGGGACTAGCTAAGTCAGTGGTTGTACTACAGTTCATTGGCATTTTCTCCAGTTAATACTAACAATTGTCCTATGATGTCATAGTTTTATTCCCATTTTACAGATGAGGAAATCAAGGCCCAGAGAGGTAAAGCAACTTGCTCAAGGCCACCCAGTTGGCAAGGAGAGGCATGCATCTTTCAAAGAGGTTTCAGAGATTCCAAGTGTTTGTCTGAGAAGCCTCTAAGGTGACACATGCTTCCCCTTATAGCTTTGACCGATACCCTCCTTCACTTGGCTAGAAATCTCACAATAGGGTGCCAAGTGCCCTCTTCATTCTTCTCATCTGTTCTGGAGGGTCTTTTGTTTGTCAAAATCCCTCGAAGTGAACATAGAATAGAGTGATCCTTTCCCTCACTGCCACCCCCAGCAAAAACCTCGTGGCCTCCACTATGCCAGTCCCAGGGTGATTAATGTTGTCCTCTAACACAGTCACAGGCAGATTTGCTCAAACGGGAGGGCTGATTCTGTCAGGTCCTTTGTCCTTTGTTTCGTGTTTGAGGATTTATTTCAAGACACCTGGCACCTCAGGAAATGACACCTGAGATGTTTGTGGCTTGGCCCAAGGAAACCTCTGGTTTACCTGTCAGCTCCCCAAAGCTAGGCTGCTAAGACACAGGGCAAAGACACAGGGCATCTCCGGAGCCCACCTGGATCAGAACCATAAACTAAGAACACTTGGGGGAAACTGTTAAACACCATATGACTCCAACCAGGATCTCTAGGAGGCAGCTGGTCAGAGCTCCCTCCCAAGCTGTTATGACTACTTTAGTCAGGTACTACCAGTGTGGTTGGGCCAGGAGCAAAAGTGGAGATAAGATTAATCCTTTCCCGGCCCAACTCCCAACTCGGCCTTGATCTGCACAAAGCTGTAATTTCTTACCTATAAATAAGACTGTGAGCAGCCGTGTATATGCGACAAGACTGACTGAGCTGCACAGGTAGGCTAAGACCTGCTCATTTCTCTCCAAAGTCTGCCACTGAGCAACTGGTGGTTTGGGGCAAGTCCCTGAACTTCTCTAGACTCCTGCATTCAGGCTCAGAAAGTGACCAGTAGGAAAGGTAAAAGCGCTGTCTCCACTCGGTGTACCCAGTCCGATCTGAAAATCGGGCCAGAGTGGGCAGCGAAAAGAAAACCACAGTTCCAGGAAAACCTCCCCTGTCCCTGAGCAAATAGTCACCCCACCCCTTCTTTCGGGCCAGCTGGGCGGACAGGGGCATCCAGGTGGAAGGCGCGGGGTGAAAGCAACCCTGTGAGATCGCCGGTGACTCTGCAGTTCTCCGCGTCTGTTTCCCGTCTATTCAGTAAAGGATTGGGCTGTAATCGCTCCAATGTTCTGCAGCCTGGCTCCTACATAAAACCCCTCTCGGATCCGATTTTCTAGGGATGTCGCGGAAGCTGAAGGCTGGGTGGGAAAGGGGGAAATAACTGCGGCCGCGGTCTGATCCCTTGCGGAACATCTGTCCAAGCGGCGGTGCAACCCAGGCGCCGAGGCCGCGGGTCTGGGCAGAGCGGGGACGGCGCAGCCACTTACCGGCATGACCGGAGGAAAAGAACTGGGCGGCGGCGGCGACGCCTCTCGCTGCTCCGAGCGCTGGCGCGGCTGTGCTTCCGGGCGTGCGCGCGGGAGGAACCGCCCCGCAGGCCAGGCCCCGCCCCTCAGGCCGTTAGGCCCCGCCCCCCGTTTCCCTGGTCCGCGAGCCACCAGATAGGCCTTGGCCGCTCCGTCTTCCTGCTGTGCGCAGGTCCCCTGGACGCCAGCCACGTGTGAGCGAGGCAGTGAGACCGCCGCTGCGTGAGCCTCCTTGGCCGGTTGGCCATATCTAGAGCGCCTGCCCTGTGTCAGGCTTGCATCGAGGGCAGGGAATACAAGGACCACGCGGTGAACAGGACAGACCCGCCTTCCCTAAAGTGATATTGTCACTGATTCATTCAGTCAGTACTTCTTGAATCCCAACCGCGAGCCAGCACTTTGCTCAACAAGGTGCAGTAGTGGAAAAGACATGGCCCAGTAGGTGATGATAAGGCAGCGTAAAGGTGCCGGGTCCTGAGGCGGAGAAGACCTCTATAGAGGAGTGGGGGTAGGGGGCGGTTCTTGAAGAGAGGAGGATTTGGGAGAAGGTGGTACTGAGAGTTAAGGGGGAGGGCTACATGTCCTCTGATGAAGGAAGATGGGCTATTTGGGAAGGAGGGAGGCAGAGGAAAACAAGTACAAAAGTTGGAAGACAAGAGTGAGCATGCATTGCTTGAGAGGCAGAGATCCTCAGACTGAGAGGCAGACAAAGAGAGACATGTGAGCCCCACAGCCGTGGTCCAGGCAGCTGGAGACATGCTCTAGGACACTCAGAGAAGCAGGCGTGCCGAGACTCCGAACTTGGGACATACAGACACACACAGCACCACACCTCCCATCAACAGAGCTGCGTGGAGAGTTTTACAAAAACTCGGATTTCTATGCCTCACTCCAGAGACGGCCCTTAATTTTAAGGCGTTCTTTTGGTCCCTTTCCTGGCTTGAGGAACCACTGGTTGAGGAAAACTGTAGTCTCAATACGTGAAACCTTTTAGAGAAAGTGTGCTGGTTATTGATTTATTGTCTTTTGCCTTTAGTTCATCCTTTTGTCTGCTCTATGAAAATGGATCTGGACTCTTGCGATTTTTTTTTCCTTTTTGCTGGCTGGCAGGATGTTCAGCTTTTGTTAGTGAAGATTCTGAAGAGACGCTGGAAGGGAAAAGGTTTTCCTCCCTAGTTTCAGTGTGCTCGCTCGCCAGGCCCTTGCAGTAGGTGTGGGTGCCCCATACCCAGCTTCTGAGGAGAGCTTCCCCAGAACCAGGCTCCTACTGTATGCAGGGACCGGCAGCGAGCAGCTTCTCCTAGCATAACCCCCCCTTATGAGCTTTCATAGCAGAGTCCCCAGTGAGATGACTCTCTGTTAATAGCTTTTCCAGAATCCTTAGGAGTGATTTTCTATCCTAGAGAGTAGATTTCTACCAAGTCCCACCAGCACAGCACCATAGACACTTCTCTGCCATTTAGCGGCCACAAGGCCTGAATCTCAGACTCTGGGGGTGTGGAGGGAGTCCTCCTTGGATTCTCTGCCTTATTGTCTTGGCCCTGTGGACAGTGGCTTCTCCTTGTAGCTGCTATTCCTATACTCTTCAGCATTCTCTTTACTTCTTAGTAGCCAATCCCTAATTGCTATAGTCCCATCATAGCCTTTAAACTCTCCTTGTTCAAATTATATTGATGCTTCTGTCTCCTGATTGGAACTGATACAGGAGTGACAATAAGCTGCCTACTTCAGTTTAGGGAAGAGGACAGTGGATCTACCCCTGGCCTAACTAAGTTCAAAGAACACAGAATGAAAGGAATAAGTCTAGGCCCAGACCAGTCACGGACTCAAATTGGGCCTGGGTGAGGATGCCCACCTCCAGCATGGTGAGTGGAAGGGGGATGGGTACTAGAGCCTGACTAGGTTGGCTCAGGCTGCTATGAACACAATATCACAGGCCGGGTGGTTTAAACAACAGAAATTTATTTCTCACAATTCTGAAAGCTGGGAAGTCCAAGATCAAGGTGCTGGCTGGTTTGGTTTCCAGTGCGAGCTTTCTCTGGCTTGCAGGTAGCCACCTGCTTGCTGTGTCATCACATGGTAGAGAACACTATCTCTGGTCTCTTCCTCCACTTGTAAGGACACCGGCCTTATTGGATTAGAAACCCACTCTTATAATCTAATCTTTATCACCTCCTCACAGACCATATCAAAACAGTCACATTGAAGATTAGAGCATCAACATATAAATTTGGGGAGAACATATTTCAGTCCATAGCAAAGCCATATAGACCAGAGTTTGAATTGTAGCCCCATCATCTGCCAGCTATGTAACTTTGGGCAGACTACTTCACCTCGCTAAGCTTCAGTATCCTCACTTACAAAATGGGGATAGTAACATGGATTTTCAATTTTTTTCCAAACCTTTTGAGAGTGAAAGGGGATGCCATTAATACTTTTGCCAGGGCAACAGGCATACTCCATGACTGTTCCAGGCAAATCAGAGCATAGGATACCCTCAGTGAAACCTACTCTGCAGTATTGCTGGGAGGAATAAACATAATGTATGCAAACTCCTTAGCACATTGCTTGGTACATGGCAGGCATCGAAAAATATTAGAAATCTTATTCTAATTGTTAGAACTTCTCCGGGCCTCCCTGGTACTGGGACTTCCCCTACTGGCAAAATCCTCACTCCTTAACCCTTCAGTGCCTCCCCACCTGCCAGGCATTTCCTTAGGTCCAATGAAGAGAGGGCTCAATATTTTGGTAGCACTCACATAACCTTTATCACCCCCTCATAAGCCATATCTCCAAATACAATTATATTGGGGTAAGCCATCAACATATGAATTTGGGAGAGTTCATAACAGAGCCACACAGACCAGAATTTGGATGGTAGACAATTGTGCACTCTGGCTGGGTAAAATCAAGATCACCGAAGATGATGGAGGAAGGGGGTAAAGGAAGGTAGAGGAAGAGCTAATAGTTCAGAGAAGATAAAGGGAGGGAGGTAAAGCAGAGAGAACACAATTTAATGACAGGCAGCATTATGGAAACTCATTAAAGAAGACAAATGACAACCTATCAGGAGAGGAAAAGGTACAGGTTTATAATTCCTATATGTAAATGAATATGTAAAGTCCATTCATTTACATAAAATAAGTCTGAAATTCACTACAGCAAATGTTACTAGAAGTTATCTTGGATGGGTGCAGGATTACAGACAAAATTTCAATGTGCTTGCTTTTAAAATTTCGAATAGCACTAAAAGATATACAGGGAAAAGTAAGTTTCCCTCTATGCTGATCCCACCTTTTTTTTTTTTTGAGAGGGCATCTCTCATATTTATTGATCAAATGGTTGTTAACAGCAATAAAACTCTGTATAGGGGACTCAATGCACAATCATTAATCAACCCCAAGCCTAATTCTCAACAGTCTCCAATCTTCTGAAGCATAACGAACAAGTTCTTACATGGTAAACAAGTTCTTACATAGTGAATAAGTTCTTACATGGTGAACAGTGCAAGGGCAGACATATCACAGAAACTTTCGGTTTTGATCACGCATCATGGACTATAAACAATCAAGTCAGATATGATTATTCGTTTGATTTTTATACTTGATTTATATGTGAATCCCACATTTCTCCCTTATTATTATTATTATTATTTTAAATAAAATGCTGAAGTGGTAGGTAGATGCAAGATAAAGGTAGAAAACATAATTTAGTGCTGTAAGAGGGCAAATGTAGATGATCAGGCCTGTGCCTATAGACTAAGTATTAATCCAAGCTAGACAAGGGCAACAAAAACATCCACGGATGCAGAAGATTTCTCTCAAAACAAGGAGGGGTGAGGTTCTAAGCCTCACCTCTGATCCCACCTTTTAAACAAAAGATATATATTTTTTTTATTAAGGTATTATTGATATACACTCTTATGAAGGTTTCAATGAAAAACAATGTGGTTACTACATTTACTCATATTATCAAGTCCCCACCCATACCCCACTGCAGTCACTGTCCATCAGTGTAGTAAGAATTCACTATTTGCTCTCTCTGTGCTACACTGTCATCCCATGACCCCCAACACCATGTGGACTAAACATAATACCCCTCAATCCACTTCTCCCTCCCTCCCCACCCATCCTCCCTCCCCCATCCCTTTTAGTAACCACTAGTCCCTTCTTGGAGTCTGTGAGTCTGCTGCTGTTTTGTTACTTCAGTTTTGCTTCGTTGTTATACTCCACAAATGAGGGAAATCATTTGGCACTTGTCTTTCTCTGCCTCGCTTATTTCACTGAGCATAATATCCTCCAGCTCCATCCATGTTGTTACAAATGATAGGATTTGTTTCTTTCTTATGGCTGAATAGTATTCCATTGTGTATATGTACCACTTCTTTATCCATTCATCTACTGATGGACACTTAGGTTGCTTCGATATCTTGACTATTGTAAATAGTGCTGTGATAAACATAGGGGTGCATATGTCTTTTTCAAACTGGGCTCCTTCATTCTTAGGGTAAATTCCTAGGAGTGGAATTCCTGGGTCAAATGGTATTTCTACTTGTAGTTTTTTGAGGAACCCCCCTCCGTATTGCTTTCCACAATGGTTGAACTAGCTTACATTCCCACCAGCAGTGTAGGAGGGTTCCCCTTTCTCCACATCCTCACCAGCATTTGTTGTTCTTAGCCTTTTCGATGCTGGCCATCCTAACTGGTCTGAGGTGATATCTCATTGTGATTTTAATTTCCATTTCCCTGATGATTAGTAATGTGGAGCATCTTTTCATGTGTCTGTTGTCCATCTGAATTTCTTTAGAGAATTGTCTCTTCATATCCTTTGCCCATTTTTTATTCAACTTATTTGCTTTTTGGGTATTGAGGTGTGTGAATTCTTTATATATTCTGGATGTTAACCCCTTCTCGGATATGTCATTTATAAATATATTCTCTCACACTGTAGGATGCCTTTTTGTTCTGCTGATAGCATCCTTTGCTGTACAGAAGCTTTTTAGCTTGATGTAGTCCCATGTGTTTATTTTGCTTTTGTTTCCCTCGCTCGAGGAGGTGCATTCAGGAAGAAGTTGCTCA